TCCATCTATGGCCACGACCTGGAGAATGAGTGAGGTTGTCTAAGGTCGCTATCAGTTCAATTAAGGGGAGCTCCTTTTTTAAAACTGCCATCTACAAGTGTACAGTTTCAAAAGAAGCACCAATCTAGATGAAGAGCGATAGATGTTGAGACAACTACGTAGCTCTAAGTAGCCAATTCACGAAAGCAGGACATATCTGTTCCTCTCACTTGCTAATCTCAATCACTGCTTCCCCACCACTAACCGCCCCCCATCTTCATCTTTCCAAAATTCCATGATCAACCCTTTCGCCTTTTCCTCCATCTGAGCCGGACTCAAAAGTCCTTCCTCCGCTACTGGCTGCTGCAGCCCGTGGAAGAAGTATGCCAGCACGTTGTTCGTCCAGGGCACCATATCCCTTTTCCGTGTCTCAAACATGATTGCGACCAGGAACGCCAGACTACCCACGAGATCGAGTGCAGGCAGTATCAGCCACGGCCATGTCACGACGGCATAGGTGGTGTTTGTGAAGGCTTTTCCCTGAACAGGAGCAGGCTGATACGGCAGATTCTTCAGTCCGAGTGACATCGCCTCCGCGAGATTTTCCATCACGGCTGGAAATCCGGTCTTGGATTCGTTCATGGCCTGATAGATCGGCTGGACAAACAGCGACGAGGGCGCTATAATCTCCTGCATTTGGGAGTCATACCCAACAAGGCTGGCAGGAAGAGTGGATATATTGCGCCAGCCAGTCACATGGCCCTCCAGATACGTCGACAACCATTTGGATAAGGTTCCACCGGCGTAGCCGTTCACACGAAAGGCTGTCGGGGACCCAGGGGGTTGGAGAACTATATCTGCATAGTACCCGCTCGCGTTGTAGAACGACTGCGTCTGGTCTGTCCACCTCCGCATCTCGGTCTCGTGGATTGACCCATTGAAAGTCTCGGCACGCATGGTGCGAACACAGTATTGAAGTAAGCACTCGAATGCAACAGGAGGCGCGTTGACATTGCCGGTATGTTTGGCCGTGAAATTCGAGTCTGCCTGTTCGATGAAACTACCGTTCGAAGGCCCTATGCCCAGCACGCTGAAGAGTTTTGAGCCGTTGTTGGGGAAGGCGACTGATGCCCAGGTTCTTCCAGGTTTCTCAGCAAATATATTAGACCCACCTTGTGGTCCGCTCAGCGTGGTAGAGAGGTTCAGCAATCCATTCGACTGTGCTACACTTGGTGAGTAGATTTCTCCTGATTCCTTGCCCATCAGAGTGAAATTATTCGGCAGCGCATAGTGGTTTGTTGTATAGTACGCTTTTGTCTTATTTCGATCTGGTCCAACAAGAGTCATCTCAGCCGTTGCTTTAATCTTCCGAAGCTTCGAAGTCAGGTCAACGCAAGTATTGCATACGCCTAATGTTTCATACGGCTCCCAAGTACAGTTGTTTGTGGTACAACGGGTCTTAGCCGTGAAGTCAGTATGAGGTCGACTGAAAATCCCGAGATATGGAGCAGACAGCATCTGTGGATCGATACCGTATATGTTTGTACCGTCTGCAAGCTGTGCAAACCCTGTGCCATTCATGATATTAGCAACCGGCATTTGGGCATCATTGGTATGCAAAACTGCAACATGATAACTCAGAGCTTGTTGGGTAAACGTGGCAATTCCCAGTGCGAGGATGACCACCACAGCACCGAATGAGCCTGTCAACCTGAATTTCACCAAGTAAGCTACTTTGACGTCGTCTGAGGATTCTTGCAGGTGGAAAGACTCTTACCCCCCTCTTCTTCGTATGAGAAGTAAAATGCTTCCCCACGGGCCCCTGCTAGCTTCATCTATTGATCGAAAATCGTCCATCGGTCGTTTCCGCATTGCTTCCAACCACTTCACCTGCCCAATTCCTGTTCTGACAGGAACGATGAGCAACAGTTCAGTAAGCGTAGCCAGCACTCCAATTATCGCATTGGGTGCGATCCCAAACTGTAAGTGAGGTAGTGGCTGTCCCTCAAAGATCCGCATGACGACGACAATGGCAACGAAGCAGCAGAAGCTGCCGCACCAGCTGAGGATCTCAAGCTTCCACCACAACCAGATTCGTGATGAACATGCTCGCTCGTTGCATTCTGTGCCGCTCGCGGATTTGGATTCAGAGCCCGCAGTTTCGATGCCCTGCTCTTCCGGAAGAAGTGATTCGTGGACGTATGCGCCCTTCCGGCTCGCGTCAACTTCTCGTACCGCGCCGTGCATTGATAAAGCTCTGATGGTGTGGTAGGGTCTTGATTCGTTCAAGCGCGAGAACTTGTCGTTATATAATATCAGTGCAGACTTGTAGCAGGTGCTGGAGCATTTGATGTATGCGAAACAAAGGGGCTGAAAAACAAAGACGCGATGGTGAGTTTGCAGCTTGTCTTTTGGCCCCCACCAGGCCCCCAGCAGCCGCCACCTTTAAGTTCACGGTCACCCGCTACCCGTCAGTCTACCTTGATAGAACTTAGTCTCATGTACGTTCCTTTTATGCCCTGGCCTGTCTGCGTTAGCATGCGAGCCTTAAATTCAATACTCGACAGCACATTTAACATCTGACTCCCACACGATAGGCGCTCAAAACTCACCACTTGGGCAGAATACTAGATGATGGCATAGGCCTCAGCGGAAGATCAAGCACACCCTATGAAGCAATGTAGGTGATGGGGCTTGCTGAGAAAGTCGGTATCAGAAGTCAAAGTGATAGGAACTCACCTTACATACAAGACGCATAATGCTCTGCTCGGAGGAGACAATGGTAATCGCAAGCAGGCTATTTCTTATCGCTTACTGACACGACCAAAGACTCAATTTCTCAACTACTCAATTGTGCACTGAGTTGAATGTAATCGTGGGAAGCTACAAGCTATGGCAATTGCGTTTGTAGTTTCGACGATCGTCGCCTTACGCGATTTGAAGAGTTCATGGTTTGATTCCTGACATTCTTATAGCAGTCAGATCGCTTCGCAGAGTGACTGCAGCTTTCTGAGATGGTAAGCACAGTCTCAAGGTCTTGGGCTCATGGTCAGACCTGCGTAGATCTGCTACCATCACGTAACAAGTCTCGTCGATAGACACATTCTCTAAAAAGGGCTTCAAGGACAACAGTCTTATCAAATGTTCCACACGCACTTCATGTCCATATTACCACCACGATTCGATCTCCAATTTATCTCGCGTCAGCATGGTCTTTTTGCACAGGTCAACGTCACTTAGCGGTTCGGGCATCACCTCAATGTATGCGTCTTTGCTTAGTTATCGTACTGGCTCCAAGAACGCGAGACTTGACCAATGCCATTCACTGAGATCTGACAGAATTGCTAACATATCAGGAATTTGAGAGAACAATCATACGTGCTGCTTGTCTTCTGACCCGTCCATGGTGATACAGGCTCCAGGTGCTCTTCAGGGCTGACAGTGTATGCAACCAATGAGCACCCTATCGTCATTCGGTCTGTGGTCGTTGCTCAAAGCAAGCGCAGTTTGCAGCAGAATTCGGCCGTTGAACTAGCTTGCAACTTGCACTTAGCTGTGTTGCCACTGTATTCCAGATCCCCAAAAAGATAAGGTGCAAGACATGCATTTGTTGTATGCGCCTTTGAGCTCGAGAACAAGCGCGGATGATGTGAGGTCGTCCTAGAATGAATGGCGAGAGCAGAGCAGATTACATTCGCTGCAATGTGCCTTCAGTACGGGCGTCGAGGACTTCTTTTTTGCTCTTTCTCGACGAGCGGCGCGAAGAACGCGATATCTAGTTGTGCAGCTTGTCGCCTTGCACTCGTTTTGATCGTGCGGTAGTGAATCTGGATCCTGAAATAGTCGTGTTAGGGGTGGTATCCTGCACAAGACAAGTAAGTTTCGACACCCTCCTCTCCCTCAAAGACAACGTACCTTCATCACATATCTCCCACACACACCACACCCTTCACATCGACCCCAACAACGGAAACACAATCCTCGTTGGCGCAAACCCCCCGTCTTCCTCCCCCCGCTCCTCCTCCCACCGTCTCTGCGTCTCCATTGAACCAAAAACTGTACTCCCCAGCAACGGCGACGTCTCCGGGCTCCTATTCCGAGCCCCTCCTCTCCTCCCCGCCAGCGGCCCAGGAACGGCCGACGCTGAAGTAACAGCTGACGTCGAGCTCGCACGCCTTCCCCCCTTAGCCGAGAACTCTCTAGACGGCTCATTAGAGTCCTGCACCATCCACCGGAAGAGCGCGGCTGCGATTTGAAACGACATAGCGGAGGACATGGCAGGTTGTGACGTCGAAGATGATATCGCCGTGGGCAAGAATTGGAATGAGACAAGTTTGAAAGTCTGGAATTTGGAAAGCGATTGTATCTATACCCCGGAATCCAAGAGGGAATATGCAAAGATATACTGTATACAACCCCGACGCAGGCACCTCTAGCTCCAAACACCCACCATGGCAACGCCGACGCCGTGTAATCCTCGTCGTGACACAGCCCGCACGGAGCCCACGCCCGCGTCGCAGTAAGCTCTTGCACAACGACAACGACGACTGTATGCGCTCAGTCCGACCGTGTCAGAGCAAAGTCTAGCGGTGGTGACTAGCGGTGGTGGTGAGCATGTCAGCGGGCAGAGGCTGTGTATAGTAAGCTAGCGCGATGCTCATCCACACCACACCGCGCCACCGTGCAGACCGAGTGCGCGTCCGACCGATGAACGTGAAGCTGCACGGTCTTGCGATTGAGAATGGAGAACGGGATGCTGTGTGTAAACATATCGATGGAGAAAGAGAGGTGAGGCAGCAAACGCGCCGTACTCGCTTGAGTGTCTGATGTCTTGGGTGAGCAAACGTCTTGGGCTCGCAATACAGAAAGTGTAGTCCCCTCTAGATGAACAGACCTTAGCACAGCCAAGCCATTGCTCTCGAAGATTTTGTCTACATCTCTGCATCCGCGACACATTCACCATCCTTGCAAATTAGAATATAACTTTCCTACCCTGCCAAAATCTCTTATCCTACAATCCTGACACGATGGCCGAGTGGTCTAAGGCGGTAGATTTAAGCCCTTTAATCTGATGTCTTGCTTGCATTTCTGTTGTTGCTGTGTGCTCAAATCTCTACTACGGAAACGTGCGTGGGTTCGAACCCCACTCGTGTCATTTTGCTTTTTTGGCGTCTTTTTTGCTTTTTACCATTACTTTGTGGTGGTTGTCGCTACTCGACGGTGCCTGCGTAGGGTGAGTGTCTGGTTTGTGGACCTGGCATCTACACAATCTCAGCAGTCTTGTTTCCCTTTACATCAGTCATTCTACTTCTTCCCCCTCCTCCCCAGCTCCTTTTCACCTCTCACCTCATCTCGCACCTTCCACATCCGCTCCCCTCCCCTCCACCCAGCGCTCCACACACGCACATACGCGCCAGAAGCAAGAAAAGCAAAGCAACGCGACGCATCCAACCAGCTCAGCCAATTGGATACGCAATTCCCGCATCTCGCTGCTCGGACTGTTTGGACTGGATTCGTACACGCTCGTTCTCTATCTATCCATGTCTACATCCACATCCACATCCACGGCCACGGCTACGGCTACGGCTGCGGCTGTCTTATCTTGCACGGCACTGACTGCACTACACTGCACTATACTGCACTGCACTACACTGCACTGCACGCCACGCAGCCTACACACCACGACATGTACCAGTTCCCAACTCATCAACTATGCAACCGCAGCCACGTCTGTCCAAAACAACAAGACACACAATCCCCCCCTCTATGCACTGATTAGGTTTACTTCCTACCTATGCTATCCTGCTTGTGTATAGAATCACCTAGTTATTTACTATTCGCGTCTTTCTACATCCATGGCTTGTGTGGGAATGGGAAGTGGCGTGTATGTGTGTATGTATGAGAGAGAGAGAGAGTAAGATCTTGACTTGAGATCTCTTGATTCAGTTCAGTTTAGTCTGTGTGTATGTGTGTGAGCAATGAGTCTTAAGTTATAAGTTGTGTCGTGTCGTAATCTCTATTTAAGTTGCAACCTAAACGCGGTGAGATGGGACTGCGTGTATATCTGTATAAAAGAGAGCAATAATCTTAACTTAAGATCTCTCAATTCAGTTCAGTGTGTGTATGTGAGAGAGAGAGAGTAATGAATCTTGAGTCGTGTCGTACTCTATTCAGGGTGCAACTTAAACGTGGTGAGATGTGACTACGTGTATATGTGATGAAGATGCTTTTTCCAACCCAGTCATAGCGTATCCTATCCTATCGTAATGGTATCGCGACCATGGCGGTGAAGTGAAATGGAATCAGGAACCCAAACGCCGTGTATGCAATCATCCACTGGACTGGGATGCTCACGCCTGCATATCCTCTTTTTCGTCCGACGGTGCAATACTCGCTTTCTTCTGCACCTCGCTCCACGCACACCTCACTTTGTTCGTGCACGTGTCTAGGCATCCTCCTTGATCTCCAGCTTGCTCTTCTTGTCCTCGCCGCCAGCGTTGTCGTCGGCCTTGCGCTTGTTGCTCGTGTCCTGGACGACGGGGACGCCGTGGGCATCGCGCTCAATCTCCTTGACCTCCTTGGGCTGGTCATCCTTGCCGTTCTGGAAGCGGTCGCGGCGGTTCTTCCAGTCGTCACCTTCAGCAGAGCCGCTGCGATCGCGGCGAGAGCGCGTGTCGCGGCGGTTGCGGTCATCACGGCTGTCACGGCCGCCGCGTCCTCCACGTCCACCGCGCCCTCCGCGGCCACCACGGCCGCCGCGGCCGCCAGATCGGTTGTCGCGGCCGTCGCGGCCGTCACGGTGCTCGCGCCTCTCGTCGGAGCGCTCCCACTCGGGCTTGATGCCCTTCTCCTTGCACTTCATCTCCGAGTACTCCTTCTTTCCCATGATGGTCAGGGCGTTGTCGTTGAACTTGGGGGCCGGGTCGAGGGCGAGGAACTGCTTCTGGCTGTCCTCCGAGTCGAACTCGACGAAGACACTGCCCTTGAAGGTGCCGTCGGCCTCGCGGCGCTTGCGGACCATGACGGCGCCAAAGGGACGGAAGAACTGCTCGAGGGCGATCTGGCCGGCCTCGCCCTCGCCGAAGCCCTTGACGTAGGCGCTGCGGCCGAGGTCGTTGGAGGAGGCGCGCTGCAGACGGAAGAAGAGGTCCGAGGTCGAGGGCGGGTTCTTCTCATCGTCGTCCTTTGCGGGGACGGAGAGGGGCTCCTTGCGCTTGACGGCCTCATTGCCGGGGCCGCTGAAGTCGCCGTCGTCAACGACGACGAGGTCCTTGCTCTCGCGCAGGGCAGCGACAATGGCCGAGTAGGGCTGGAAGCGGCGCATGCGCTTGAAGTCGGCAATGTGCTTGATGCTGACGGGGCGGTTCTGGGGGCCGTCGAGCTCCTTGAAGAGGTGCTCGTCGGTGACGAGGTTGTGGGTGGAGAAGTAGAATTCGACCTGGATGGTCAGTAGGGACGAGACAAAAGGGCGGGGGTAGCTACCTGGTTGCGGATCTCGACGGGGTCGTCGGTCTCGGGCAGGTCCTCGAACTCGTTGGTGCGCGCCCTGGGTGAGTCAGCAGTTGTGCGTGTGGGGAGACAATGCAGTCGCGCACTTTCTGTTCTTGAAGCCTCCGCCGCCGCGGGGTCCTCCGCGTCCACGGCCTCCACGACCTCCACGGCCGCCTCGGTGGTTGCTGTCGCGGTCGCGGTCGTCGCGGCGGTCGCGGCGGTCTGGCTTGGCGTCGCTGCCGTTGAGGTTCAGGATCTCCTCGCCCTCGGTGGCGGCTGTTGGTGTCAGTCTCGGTGAATGCGTGTGGTGTGGATGGGTATGGCGCGCGCTCACTCTTGGGCGCCTCGACGGGCTTGGCCTCAGCGGCCGCGGGGGCAGCGGTGGTGTCGGCCATGGCGTGTATTTGCGTGTGTCTGGGTCGCGAGGGGGAATTGGCGGTCCAGGCGGAAAATAGAGAAAATTAGACGGCGGTGGTGTCGAGCGTCCGAGTGCAGGCAGACGTCGCGCAGAGAGAGAGAGAGCTCGGGTGGGGATTTTTCTAGCGCGGTTCGGCGGCCCTGACTTGAGATTTTGGACGTCCATGCATCGACGGGGCCGACGTCGTTGGTACTGACGACTCCTCTCACCACACCACCACCACCACCCCCACTCCATCGCCGCCATGAGGAAGAAGCCGAGATTCCATTCGCTCAAGAAGCTGGTGCGTCTCTTGCCGTCCATCTGCTTATGTCATGTCGTGTTAATTCGTCGCAGAAAGTCCGCCAGGACATGTCGCGCTGGACGCTGTACAGTCTCTCGCAGCTGCGCCAGCCCAACACGTCGACACGCACCTTCTTCCAGCAGAAATGGACCGCCAAGGCCGACACGCGCGCGTACCACGGCGAGCAGATCCGCGAGAAGAAGTGGGCGCGCCTCTTCAAGCGCTCGCTGCCGGCCGTCGTGCCCATGGACCACCGCTACCTCGCCCGCCACGACGGCAGCGAGCAGGCCGCCGGCCGAGGACAGGGCGCCGACAGCGAGGACCGCGTCCGCACCCCGCAAATGACGCCCTACATGCAGATGGCCTACTATCCCATCGAGCGCCGCCTCGACACGGCCGTCTTCCGCGCCCTCTTCGCCAGCAGCGTGCGCCAGGCCCGCCAGTTCTGCGTCCACGGCCTGGTGAGGGTCAACGGCAAGAAGATGCCCTTCCCCGGCTACATGCTCAACCCGGGCGACATGTTCCAGGTCGAGCCCTCGTCCGTCATGTTCGCCACGGGCGCCCAGAAGGAGCGCTCCTCGACCGCCCGCCGCGTCGCCAAAGAAAAGGCCGCCGAGCGCGCCCAGGCCCGCGAGGAAGCCGGCGGCCAGACCCCCCGCCAGCCCCGTCCTGAAGTCATCGTCCCCTCCAAGGGCGAGGAGCCCACGCCCGCCGAGCTCAAGCGCCACCTGCAGGCCATGATGGACGACGTCGACGGCGTCCTCGCTGAAGACGTCGGCGCAAAGGACAAGCAAAAGTTCCGCGCCTTCCGCCAGACAGTCAAGCGCGCCGTGGGCCTGTGGCGCTCCGCCTCCCCCGAGTCCGTCTCCACCCTCGACACCCAGTTCGACTTCCTCAAGACACAGCTCGCCGGCCGCTCCGCCCCGCCCACCGCCGGCACCCCGGACACCGACGAGCCCCTCTTCAGCGACGCCGACCAGGCCAAGCTGCGCGAGGCTTTTGAAAAGCTGCGTCTCGAGACCGAGCACACCTCCGCCTGGAACCGCCGCAACGCCGCCGCCCCCTACGCCACCCCCTGGCGCCCCCGCGACTACATGAGCGCTTTTGCCTTTATTCCGCGCTATCTCGAAGTCAACCAGAACATCTGCGCCGCTGTGTATCTGCGGCATCCCGTCGCACGGCCAGGGCTGGCTGAGGTGCCCACGCCCTTCCCCTACGAGACAGGGCAGCTGGCCTTCAACTGGTACTTAAGACGGAGGTAGACGACGTGGTGTGTAGGATACGTGATGATGCAAGACTGTAGCATATGTGCCCATTACCAGATATTAGCATTGGGGGTGTTTGCCATGAATACAATTTCGATGAACTTCATTGATTCGTCTTTTTTCCCACTATGAAACAATCTTTCTGTTCTGTCATTGATGTTAAAGTATCACGATGGTCCAACATCCAACCTCCAAGACTCAGTATTCCAACATGCCAACATCCCATTAACATACTACACTACCTCGCACTCTCATCGTCAGCATTCTACCGTCACCACTCTATATCCCACACTCTACACCCAACACTGCAATATCTGACATCTGACATCTGACATCCTAATCCCCGAATCTGCTTAATTTTATAGTCTGTATTCTACGTGTAAATCTAGTATTCAGTATTTAGTATCCAGCATCCAGCATTTAGCATTCAACATCAGCATCTCTACACCCACCATCCACCCACCCCATCCATCCCCTCCATCGTAGAATCCAAACACCATCTCGTATCTATCCCGCACATAGCAGAAGCTGTATTACATCAAACTGTCTAGCGTACGATACCAACTATCCTCTCCCCTCTCTCCTCGTATTCCACACCCCAACCCCTCCCTCCCATCCCATCACAGCACCGCCACGCAACAATCTCCAGCGTCATCCCGCAACCCGCAGCAGCCAGCCTAGCAGATTGTAGAGCTAGA